GGGACAAAAGGCAGGTTAGATCTCTTGAATCTTCTCTATCCCTCAACCTCTTCCCCATACCCCTTCCCCCATCCCAACTACCAGGGTCCCTGGTCCTTTTATCAGGACCCTGGGCACTGCCAGGAGTTGGGGAGGAGTTGGCCCTGTTCTGTGGTTTGTGCCAACAGCAGGAACCTCTGGCATTCCAAGGCCACAGAGAACAAAGCCAACCCGAGTCTGATGAAAAGCCCCGGGTCTGGGTTTTTTCCTTGGCGCTTCCCCAAGCTGTGAGGAAGGCAGCCCACTCCAGTACTCTGGTGCTGGCTGGAAAGGATTCCTGTGTCCTGACTCCTGCTGCTCTGGGCTGGACTGCAGGTGCCCGCTTGAGGGGAGGGTATTCCTGCCCAGTGAACTTCTCTCTTCTCCTGTGGGCAGAAAAAGTTTTCCAGCCATGGCGGTCTGACCTCACCCTGGCCACTGCCTGGGTTCCAGAACCTTCCTTCCTGATGGGAGAGGGGTAGACACTGGGTAGTGGGAGGAACCAGACCAGAGTGGGCAGAATTTCCGACACTTAAGGCAAGACCTGAGTCACTAGTGCTTATTTGGCCACCAAGTTGGCCACCTATCAGCTGGGGGACCTTGCTCATGTTACTTCCCTATCCTGTGATTCAGTTTTCTCATCTGCAAAATGGGTTGCCAAAAGGGCCTAGTTCATTTTATGTAACTTTTTAAAAACCATTATTACTAGAGAACAAACTTGAGCTGTGTTATCCCCTCTATACATCCTTCCTTTCCTCTCCGTCTGTCATCTTCCTTTCTGCTTCCCCAGTGAGGTTTCTTCCTACCCATCCAGAAGCACCAGGGTCTCCTCCCAGCAGCCCAGGTGGCTGCCACCAAGAGGCCTCAGGGTGGGCAAAGACCCCAGGAGACAAGTGCCCAGGACATATCTCCAACCCAAAGCAATTGGACAAATGCCATGGGTGGCTTTTTCCAAACTGCCTTCTGCAGCCCATGGCTTTTCCTTTCACCTGCCAGGACCTGTATTTCTATTTCTGTGTTTTGAGAGCCTGGGGGGTGGGGCACATGGAGTAATTAATGATTGATTCTCAGGAGCAGCCACCAGGAGGCCCCAGGGCAGGCTGACGGCCATTTCCTGAGTGTAGGGACGGGGGAGAAATCCCGTGTGGCTGTGGCAGGACTGGGCAAGTCTGTGAGGGGAGAGGATGGTGTGAAAACTGCTGGAGCCCCAAACCCTTCTGCCCTCTGCCAAACGGTGAGGTCACACTGGAAGCTGTGCCTTGGCGCCGGACTCCTCTCCTGCCACAGGCTCTCTCCCCTTTCTGGGTCACAGACACCCGTGCCCCACCCCACCCCTGCACCTGCCCCTATGCCCACAGGCACACAACCCTCTCTCCAAGCTCAGGCAGCTATTTGCAAAGCTCACCGCAGTTGGGGAAAGGGATTAAAGGAACCGGCTTCCGCAGCAAAATTTTAGAAGCATTCTAACTCTGTCCTTCTTGGACGTATTATTGCCCCTGCCTTTGTTGTCTAATAATAATTAACTTTTGTACAGAGCTGTAGTTTTCAAAGGGCTTTCACATTCATAATTCTATTCATCCTCACAACAAAGCTATGAGGTGGGTCTTAGCCTCCCCACCCCGCCACCTGCACCCACGTCCTACTAAAGAGGAAACTGAGGTTCAGAGAGAAAAAAATGGTCCCATTCCACACAGACAGGGCAGGAACACTCACCTTCTGACGCAAAGTAAAGAGCTGTTGTTTTCTTCCTGTAGGATGCACTGCACTTTAGTCCCAATAGTGGTTCATCATGTAGGGGAAGGTGGCATGGCAGGCAGGGAGAGTTGTTGGGGGCAGGGGTTGTCCCCCAAGTTTGGCCCCTGGGCAGTCTGCACAGAGAAGCTAGGCCACACGGGAGTGAGGGGAAGAGGCCCACAGACCATGCTGGAGTTCAAGGGGCCCGGCCACCTGAGCAGGCAGGTGGTAGGATTCCACCTGTGCAATCAAACGCCCACCTCAGAGTCAGTTGAAACTGAACTGCTTATAAAAGACCCAAACCATCCCCCTCCCCTATTTGGCAAGGATGACCAACTCATCCTGGTGTGCCCAGCACAGTCCCAGTTTAACACTGTAAATCTCACAGCTAGGGCAAACCGGGACAATTCACACTGCCACCAATCTGGTGGACTTCAGCTGAACCTGGAAGGAAAGACCATTGTTTGAAGGCTCAGCAGACCAGCATAGAATTTTTAAAGTCACAGAATATTTTGCAAACTCAAAACCTTACCATAGTTAGGCAATTACCTAGGATTGTTGGAATATTAAACCTGAAAGAATATTCAATTCCACAAAGAAACACTCAGATCTGGGGCCAGAGCTTTCACATTTTTAAAGGCAAGAAAGAGTTACTCCCTCTTTTCTAGTTATGTATTTTAATACTGACAATGAATTAAATTTCCTCAGAAAAACACTGCGTTAAAAAATTGTAATTGTCAATTGATTAATCTTAGCATGAAAATCTTAGCGGTGTCAAGTCAGAGAAAAGGAAGGAGAGAAGGAGGTGTTTGTTGGTTTTAAAACGTGAGCTCTAAATTTCCCATGGAACTGGAAGTCTCTTAGTCATGATGCAAATTTATTTTGAAATTTCCAATAACATCAAAGGAAGGCTTGTGATTTTTACGTTTAGCTAAAAAGATCTTGGATTTTTTAAAGTTTGAAGAAAAACTGTGAAAGAAGGCATTTTTAACAAATGCGTGTATTTCAAACTCTTCATTTTGCAGAGGAGGAGACTGATGCCTAAGAGGCAGAGTTAAGGTACTGGTTAGTGACATTTCCTTGGCCTTGGTCTCAGAGGATTAGGAAGTACCAACAACCCAGGCTCGATCTCTGATTGTAATAAGAAAGTAGGGTCAGTCCAGGAGGCCCATGTTTATCTCTGAAGCAGGGGCGCCCTGGGTACTTACTGCTTGTTTGTTCTAGAAGATTTCTGCCGAGTCTCCTCCTGGTCATCTGCTATGTCACCTGCAGTCTGGAGAGGAGGTGCTCTCAAGGTGTGTGGGTGTGTTTTTCCTTGAGGAGTGACCCTGAAAAGTTGCATGTTGAGTTTTCATATTAAAATGAATTTTGTCAAATGAGCTCATAAATGGGACAGGTATATTTTGAAAACTTGCTGTTTTTGTCCTCTGAGAAGTTTTGCCCAAAAAGGGGAAGGGGAAGGGAGCTTTGTTTTGCTGGGAAGTAAAAGCACAGTGGCAAGAATGGATGCAGGAGTTTAGATGGTTATTGGTTCCTATCAGACCCTTGGTTTGGATAGAACCTCCGCAGTTTTCAGCACTGTTTGGATGGGGGCTTGTGGGATTCACCCCGGAGCCCTGCTGCTGCCCTGGTGGGAGGGGAGCCTGGGTGAATGAGGAGAGTCTCTGTCGTGGCCTCCACACTCCACGGCTCCCCTGCAGCAGCAGGCCATGGGCCAGGGTGGCAAACTGGCCCGTGGGGTCAGTAGGATCTATGCCAGGATGCATTTCTACCCGACACCCTTCAATCTTCTTTCTCCAGGGGTGTCTGACCAGAGAAGTTGAGGATCTGGACCTTTGGAAACCACAGAGCAATTTTAAATAACAATTTTTGGAGAAATATTTAAAACAATAAAACACATTGTTTTCATTTAGAGTCCTTTGCAAATGTGGAGGATTCATTTAGGGACACATGCATTCTTTTCTCTTTTTTTTCACAAAATGATTCATTTTTCTTAAACTAAGAGAGGAGAAAGACTGGGTGGAAGGAGGTAATGGATTAACGTGAAAGATAAAACTTTTTCTTTAAGCAAGCAAAACTGTGTTTTCACAAATCCCTGGCTTGCCCCCTCTCCCTCTAGAACCTTACTCAGCCTCCATGTCCCAGAGCAGCCACGCCAGGCCCACAGAGCTGCCTCTGAAGGGAGCTGGTTGTCCTCTTGGCTATAATCCTGAGTCCAGAGGAGATTAGATCTGGCCGGAGATTGGGGGAGCACCCAGGCGTTGCCCCATGTGCCTGCAGATGCTCCAGAACATTTGCTTGCGCACACCCACACACAATCTTCCCTGTGCACCAATTCCCTGGCAGAGGGAAGCACCATAAGGAAGGATGGAGCAGCTTTGGCCATCACTAAGGGCTTCTCATTCGCACCTAGAGACCCTTTCTTATCTACACCCAGGCCCCCACATTGCTCAGGCTGTTGAACCTGCAGACCAGGCTGGAGGTCAGCTCAGTCCTGTCCCTTTCTAAAGCCTTTCCACGTGGAGGTGAAATCTAGGACCTCACTGCCCTTCCCCGAACTCTTCTCCCAAGTTCAAAATCCTCAAGGAGCAAGAAAGAAGGCAGGTGGCTGTGTGTCTTAGGGAAGAGAGAGGAGTCCGAGCGGAATGGAGTGTATGACCACTCTATTAACTCAATACGGTGAGGGTGCGGATCTTGTCTGTGTGGTACAGAGGGGACCAGTCTCAGGGGCTGATCAGGGTTCTGCTCTGGAAGAGGTCACACCTGCGGGGAGAAGGTGGAATGATCTTGCCTGCAGTTCTGTGAGCAGGCTCTACCTTAAGAGCCAGGCATAAGCAAAAGTTCCCTCCTAGAAAAGAAAAGGCCGCATCCTGGTGAGCAGATCAGAGGTGAGGGGAGCACACAGGGTGTCCTAGAGAGACATGTCTCTCACTTCTGGTGGTCAGTGACCCCAGGAGGACCCACGGAGCTTCATCCTCGGGTCCTGAGGCCTCCATCTCCCGCTCCTAGAATATATACAGGCCTTCTGAGTTGGGGCTCAGCTGCCTTCCTCTATTCCCTCCGCTGGAAACAGAAGCTCCAGCGAATGTTTCTAACTCCTGAGTCCACTCAGCCATGTCCCCCTTGCAAAATCCTCCCCTTCCCGCACCCCCCTGCACCCAGCCAGCCAATCCGCGGCCTGCGAGCCTCGCCAGACCCATCTCCCAGGGCCTGGGCGGGATAAAACCGGTCGGCGATGCCGGGTGGATGGGAACAACTTCGGACAAGGAGAGACGCGGGGCCCAGGGCACCCTCGCGGGCGGGCCCAGGCAGTGAAGGCCTGCGGTCAGTCGGCCAGGTATGTCGCCCAGGGGTTAGCAGTAAGGTGGTTGGCAGAGATGGGGGTTTCGAGAAAGGACAGAGTCCCAGGAAGCCTGGCAGCTTTTTCCCTCCCAAGCTAAACAGGATAATGCTGGGGCAGAGGAGGGAGAGGGCATCCGAGCTGGAGTTTGGAGCTTCCTCAGCGCACCTTCAATCTCGGATCCTCTGGGCAGGCATGATAGCTAGGCCAAGCTGAGGTTGGTCCCACTTTTCCTAAAAATCCTCCGACTCCTGGCAGGCAATGAAAGTCTAAGGGATGCGTCCTGGGAAGGGGGTCAAAGGCTGTGGGCATCGAATCTTATGTCCCTTCTCTGGGTCTGCGTAGGGCAGCGGCGTGACAGCCGGCGCGGCCAGGACCTGCATCAGTAAGCCCCGAGCCCTCGGCGGGCTGCGAGAGACTCCCTGCGATGCCTCACAACTCCATCAGATCCGGTAAGAACGCGGCGCGGCCAGGACCCCTAGCCCCCGCGCCGCCGTGCGTCTGTGCGTGCGCCCTGGTCGGAGGGGCTGGGAGTGTACGCGCGGGGCTCGCGGGATCCACCTGCGTGGGGGCGCAGCTGGGGGCGCCTTGGGCCTGGCTCTCCGCTGGAGCTCCTGCGCTGTTTTCCAGCATTAGGGTCCCCTTGGCCAGCTGAGCCGCCCTCCCCAGGCCTTGGTTTCTGCAGACCACATGGAGCGGTGAGAGGCTCTCTGTGGAGTTATAGGGGGTGTCCGCGTCCTACGCGCGGTCTTGCACGGCCCATTAGGGTGGACATCCTTCGCGCTCTCAGTCCCTGGGCTGCACCGATGCTGGACTTGTGGCTCCCCTGCCCCCGACCTCCCAGCCCTGGTCTTCGGGTGCGCGCAGCCCTTGCCAGTGACTCTCCCAGCGGGACTGTGAGCTCCCCCCATCTCTCAAGCCATCGGGAAAGGAGCCTGTGGTCAGGGGCCTGGGAGGCTGGAGCGCACTCAGACTCTCGGACTCTTCCTTGCCCTGCACGGGACAGGCGGGGAACCGCGAGCGAGCGGGTCATCTCCCTGGTAAGGAATAAACTGCCCGCGGAGCGGAACCCCACTCCCCACCGGGGCCCCGGCCCAGGGCCTTCAAAAGCGCTCGAGCTCCCATGCCGCGGTGCCTGCTCTCCCCGCTACTGGCCAGGGCCAGGAGGGGTCTTTGCCGGGAAGGAGCCCCACGGGCGCGGCCGGTGGGCACAGCCGCCCCGGCGCGAAGAGAGTGCGGACAGCGGGCGGAGGCGCGGTCGGCTGGCGGTGATGGATGGAGCCTGGCCGGCCGCGGGGAAGACAATTTATGGGGCCAGGGCGCATCGCTATCGATTTGGGCCGGCGAAGTGAGAGGAAATCAATATTTCAGATGAATTCTCGGCGAATATGAAGTCCCGCTCGGCAAACGGGACATTTATTATAATAAAGAGGGTCGGATCCGGCGCGGCGCCGGGATCTGAGATCTCTATTTAGCTGAGTGCGCCACGGGGGTCGGGCTGTGTGGCGCAGTCTCGGGTCCCAGAGCCGAGGCTCCACTAGAAGGGGAACCCCCTGGGGCGCCAGAAGGTTTTCACCCCTCTTCGCGCTAGAGCGGCAGACCTAGTCAACAGGATGATCCCTTCCTGCCCCCCATACCCCTTGAGAGAGGGGCCGAGCTGTCCGGCCGCCCTCAGCGGGCTCGGGTTTGCTTCTTGGGCCTCGGTTAGAGACCTAGTGGCTCTTCCCCGGAACGGCGGGATTGGCGAGCCCGGGGACAGAGTAGAGCTGCCTGGCACCCTTTCCCCTCCGCACCGGAGAGCTCCTGGGCCACTTTCTAAGGTCAGGACCACGTTTTAACCCATTAGTTTTTAGTCACACAGAGATACAATACCCGACGTCGCCCCCGCCTCGGGTTCAGGAGCGTTCCAGAGGCCGAGTGCGCGGTGCCGGGTGCCGGATCCCATGCCAGGCTGGTCCGGCCACTTTTGCTCGGCTCCGGGGTTCAGTCTTTTCCCCCTGACCTTCCCCTGACCTTTTGGGTGGTGACAGGAGGAGTGGATGCTCTGGGACCTCGAATTTACCGGACTGGGCCAAACTCTTCCCCTCTGACACTGCCCAAGAAATAAGACCATGTCGCAGTCCCTTGGGTTGGCTTATTTTTTTCCCCCTGGCTACCGTTTTTTATTCTAGAAGCACTCATTAAAATAAATGGGAATAAACAGGGAAAGATTTAAAAGGCACAATTTATTTTTACTTTAGTTTTAATCAGTATCAGTCCCAGATGATGAGACATCGCGCTTTCCCATTAGCTCTGATGCAAATCGCCCTTGGGTTTGGGGAGGGAGCCGTCTGCCCCTGGCCCTGCCAGGTATTTTATTTATATATTTACTTATTTATTTACTTTTTTGTCTGGGGGAGGCAGTCGGGCTACTTCTATCCCCTTCCCAAAACAAAGAAAGAAATAAAGCTGTGAGGGAGGACGAGACTTTCTTCTTTAGTTTAATTTAAATGCTAATAAAACGGAAGAAAATTGCCTATAACACAGCACAGACGGTTCAAGGCCATTCCCTGTTTCTTTTCTGAACCATTTCTTGGCAAACCTGGGCCGGAGACCCTCTGTCTTTCTGCGCAGTTCACTTGGCACTGTTGGCTGTATTTACAGCTAAATGCGTAAGCTGACCCCCCTGGTTATTTATAAGCCCATTCTCTCTTTCTCTCTCAGGTTTTAGCAGTTTTCCTCTTTTCCTCAGGCACTTCCACTTCTGAGTTTGGCTGTGCACGGGGAGCTCCCGTTTAAGTTTTCCTCTGGAGCAGAATGGGGCGCAGGCAGCCGCGCAGCTTTTCGCGGGAGCGAGGCGGAGAGCGCACCCTTTCCAATAACCCCAGACGCTCCACAAAAGTTTCCTGCGCTGCCTCCGCGGCCCAGGCCACCTCAGCTCATCCTCGCTCACCCTTGGCCGATCTTGCTTTGCAAACACATCTTATTATTTTTCTACAGCTTTATTCTGAAAGAGTGTTGAGAGCGAATTATTTTGGTGTCCGCAGGTCAGCAATGGGCTAAACGTTCAATAGAATCCGCTGGGATTTTTGTTGTATCAGGGAACAAAATCCTCTAACACAAAAACATTTTCTAAAAATATGCAAAGATGCATAAGAAATGACAAATGCCACATAAATATTAAAGTGGAAAAATACTGTATCAATGAGGAATAGAGTTTAGTAAAAGCAAGCAGGTTGTCATTAAAAGTTATGTGAAATAACGTCTCAACCCGCTTCCTCTGGTCCTGAAAATAGGCTATTCGAGTGGTAAAATGGGACTTAAGATCCAAGACGGAAAATGCCTCCAACTTCCCGGATCTGAGATCTAAAGCCCCATTCCCTCCTCTTGGTTTTAGAATGGAGGAAAGGGGAATAAATGCATTTGGGAAGAATCTGTTTTCTTCCCGTGTTTCTTGCCTGGGTTGAAAATAAGGTCTTCTGGGGAGGGCAAACAGTCTTGAGAAACATAAAGAGGTATTGGGCTTCCTCAATTCATCTTTGTTTCAAGATGGTCTATCCTCCCACCCTCCTCAATGCAAGTTAATTAGGAGATAATTTAGCTACCTTGTGAATTAGTTTTAAGATAAGTATCTTTTCAAGCTTTGTCACTTTAATTGCCCCATTGATTGATAAGAAGTAATTATTTCTAATTGACACTTTTTTGATGTCTATTGGAAGCATTTATTTGGGACTTTTTTGGGGGGTGGAAGGAAAGTTAATTAATTTTATCGGTCTATACCCAAAAGGACTCTGCCTAATTTTGCTGAAGAGGACAAAGGAAGAGAAGAGAACAAAATAAAAATCGATCTCATGGAATTTTAATTATTAAGAGATATTTTGGTTCAAATTAGAGGGCTTCTGCTAATATAATGTGTCAAAACTTTCTATTTATGGACTCAAATCTCTAATTTTAATGAGCTGCATGTTTTATAGGTATACTTTTTCCCATGGATATACTCAAAAACCCTTTATGCTCTTCCTTCGTTTTGGAGCAGGTTCCTCAGCTTTGTAATTAATTTTCGTGAAAAGTAAAATCAATAGAACTCAGTGTGCTCAAAATAAACGAAATCATTTTTGTAAGAGCTAATTGTAAGAAAGATTTACTAATAGTTATCTGTGTTCTGTAATTATTGATGGAGTTGGGTATAAAGGTGAAACTTTACTTACAGTGACATGCCTTTTCATACCGAAGACTTGGAGTAAACAGTTTAATCATTCACATCCTCCAGAACATTTTACTGTGAGAGAGAAAGAAGTGAAAGAATAAAGAGAAAAAGAAAGACACTGAAAGGAAGCAATGGGGGAGGGGAGGAGAGAGAGGGAGAGAGTGTCGGGATAGAATAAAATGAAAGCACTTATTTCAGAAACTAAGGTAGCCAGGTGCACGGAACCTCTACTATTCAATATAATAAAACTGAAATCCTGCTTTCCAGATGCATTTTTTGAATGCAAAATCTCTACCACAGCCTCTAAGCAACCCCTAACCACCACCAGATACCCCCAATTTTATATGCATAAAAAAGAGGCAGAGTCTTCCTCTGGCTGGTCCCTATCTTGGGTGTCTGGGTGTCAAAGTCATGATTTGAATTCCATGAAAAGGAAGAAACAAAATACACATTGTGCTCTGGGGACTTATAAAGAGATTTGAGGGCTGTTTTTATTTTATTTTATTATTAAAGACCCTGTGATCTTCTTCCGTAGTTATATGTATACAATCTGTTTATAGATACGCTTGTGACTTACTGACATAGGAAAACATTGCCACATTAACCCAAAGGGGAGACACCACACAGGCACACACACTCATGCACACCTAGAATGGGAGAAACACAATCACCCAAGATGCACTCCTGTCAGGTTAATTTCAGCCAGTGTCTTTTTCAAACATTTATGTATAAAATCTTGTCTGCTTTTAATGATGTTTCTCCCAGATTACGTGGAGCTGCGAGAATGAGGAAACATTTTAAATGAAAAAGAAATTTAAGACATACAAACAGCAGATAATATCACATACCAACCTCACTATTAGTGAAACTGAAAAAATATATAAATAATGCAAAAAAAAATCAGCAAGGGAGAGTTTAGTAATGGAAAATTCCCCTGCAATTAAATGAAACAGTAATTTAGTGGAGATATGCCTGAATGAATTAGCATTTATTAATTGGTTCTCATAAAAACAATTTGTGTGTATGTGTGTGTGAGAGAGAAGAGTTGGGAAGGGGGTTGTTTAAAGTATATATTTTCCACAGGAAAAGTTCCTGAAATGTTCATATCAAATTATGTCATTATCACTTTCTATTTTGTGAAAAATCCCAAGTCTCTCACTGGCAAGTTTTACCTGCTCACAGAGAGCTTGGGGGCAAAGGAAAGGAGCCCCTTTTAGATCAGAAAGAATGAAGCCGGGCTCCCCCTTTTCTTGGTACATTTCCAAA